AACTATCAGTTTAAAGACACGTAAAACGACACACTTTCCAGTGACAACTGAGGTTATTGCGGTAATTATTTTTTTATTTACATTACAGTAGAATAAAAGTTATCTTAAAACACTGATTTTGCTTTTATTTAGAATCGAAATGATAACATTAATAAAAAACAGTAAATAATAAAAAATAAATAAATTTGTAATTATAATATTTGATTATCCTCCTGTTTCTATTTCGCTTTAGAAAGATAACCCTTCCTCTATTTATCAATTCTACTTTTTAAATGATTAATAATAAGAAGAATAAGATTTATCCTCTTTTTTGTCCTCTTTCTTATCCTCCTTCTTATCTTCCTTCTTACCACTTGAGTAAGAATCTTCCTTCTTATCGCTTGAGTAATAATCTTCCTTCTTTTCTCCGTATCCGTAACTATAAGAACTAATAAGTTTAAATTCTCCGCCTTTACCATTGCATGACTTATCTTCTTTGAGATAAACGTAAGCGTAATAAGATTCCTTAGTGTCCCAATCGCTGCCGATCTTAAAATCTATTGTACCAACACCACATTCTTTCTAAAAAGAGCAAAAAAGCAAATAGAATAGGTTTAATAGCAGCAATAAATAAAATGTGTGTAAACAAAAATATGTTTAATTACCTCTCCAGTCCAGCAAACTTTGTCGCTACTTTTTGATTTAATCTCAACGACAACTTTCTCTATTTGCGTCAAATTATCATTAATAATTATAACTTAAAAAATGGTTAAAAATTGAGACTATCATTCTATTTAAAAATTACCATCAGACTTAATGTTATTAGACCACCAACTGCAAGCTTGGGTGCTACCAACCGCCCATGGGCCAGGTCCTGGTGAAGAAACATGGATTTCTTTCGAATTCCTTTCTGCAGGGAAAGCAAAGACACTTGAAATAACCGCAAGTGAAATGAATAAAACTTTTAAGAATGATTTCATTGTTTATTTGTTTTTTTTATAAGATTGTTTTTCTGTTCTTTAAGTAATTTTACTTTTTACTTGTTGAATACTTTTGTTTTTGTTTTGAATTGAAGAGAGAAATAGTGGTGTTTATATAATTTTCGCGTTTCTTACAAATGGAAGGTGAATATTTACTGATCACTGGTTTTTTTTTCAAATCTCGATCCTGGAATTAGCAAAGCCTTGTGGCTTTTTGAATAGAAGCTAAATACAATTTTATTAATATTTGTCGCTCGTATCGTGTGGTGCTAAGTCAACTTGTATGGCGTTGTTAATTTTTTAGAATATATCGACATTATTTGGGCAGCAAGAATACTAACATTTTGACATGATCGTTGTCACATATAAACTAATGAGGCTTGGTTAAGATCGATGAGGTCGGGCTTTGATGAGGCATTGCTTAGATACTTTTTACGACTCATGTATGCACTTTAACGATATAAATTGTTTTTTTCGTGGCTTAATCAACCAAGTTAAAATTAGATACTTTCAATTTGGGCATAAAGGTGGATAAAAAAAGTAAATTAATTAATTTACATAAATATTACTAATATTACTCCGTGAGAATTGTATTATGTAATATAATTTATTACCATAAGACGCCTCTTTAAAAATTTAATCTCTAAGAAATTACGTAATTGTTGTAATTTTTGTAATTTTTATCATTGCCCTAATGTTAACATGCTTTCTTTGAACATATTCGTAAGCAGCAATTCTGTTTATCTTTAAATTGATAATAAAAACGAATTGGTAAAACACATCTAGTCATACGTACACGAAAATCGATTAAACTATACATTTAATAAAGTAAAATCTTAATAAAAATAGAAAGTTATTCTTAGAGTCACCAATAAGAAATTTCACAGCCGGAAGATTTACAAGATCCTTTAACGTTAGGAGTAAGGTATGTGATTAAAGTTTCTTTTGGTAATTATCTTCGACGGCTTATATTCAAACCTATATTTACTAAGCCGACATTCGATGCAATTGTTGAAGCCACGCTATGTGCCGATCGATGAAAAACAAATAAGTATATGAAGCACATATAACGATAATATTTGAGATTCATGCCGATCCACGGAGATACTAATAGTTTTCGGTTGATGATTTATTTGGGGTAAAGAAAGAAATGATTTCTTTTTCAAGATTATCCATAATATTGGATGCATGTATTGACAATTCCATTTCTTGTTTAGTCAAGAACAAAAGCCACTTTTCTTTTTGAAATGGATTCGATTCGGTAACGATATGAATTTGTGGAATAAAATAGTAATCCTCATTAATTACCCCAACCTTTTAATTTACATATACGGTAATAGTGATGATTTGAGAAAACTTACGTACGGACGTAAGCATTGATTTACCGAGTTGAACCTAAGAAATCGATTGGGCCGGTTAAGAAAAGCGTTTATCGTTACAGCCGTTCTCGTAAATTTGGGAGCAGATCTTTTCTAAAAATTACATCGCTGTCTCCAGATTGAAGGTTTGAAGATAACAGAAAGTTGGGTGATTTACAGGGAGAAATCAAAAAGATTTCAGGTAACGAGCAAATTTTTAATTTGAGCCAGAATTCGAGAACAGCCGTAATCGGATAACCGTGTAATCGGATAACCCGGTATAATCGGCTGTTACGTTAGCAAATGTACTACAAGTGACTCTTGATATAAAGAAGTTACCGGGTCCAGTCAAAACCTTTCTGATATCAAGATTTTCTTATATCGAATGCTCTTTATTATAAAAATTCTCGATTGGGACTTGTAAAATCTTTCTTATATCAAGAGTTTCTTGTATGTAGATCAAATATATGTGATTGTTGCTAAAAAAACCCCGAAAATTTAAATATGACTTATATTTAAATTTTCGGGTTTTCCTTTAGCGACACTCATGTATAGTTCCATATAAAAATCCACGTTAGACTACCAATCAGATTTCAAGATAAGGTGTACCGTTACACGATCAGAAAATTCAAAAAATTGCATAAGAAATCACCTTCCGTGCTTCAATTAAAAGATTTTACTGTATATCTTGTCAATATTTAACTTTAATACAAATGCTAACTTTAACATCAATGAATTTTTAAGAATTTAGTATATTTCAGATGTGCGATCGGCAACATGCATAACCTGTCACACAATTCAGACGTGCAAATCAAATGTGCTAGGTGCGGATCCAATTGACAAAAATTCGCCTGGGAACCAGCGATAAAACATAATAAACTTCGGGGTATGTTTACTATGTAATTTCGCCTTTTTTTGGAATCTAGAGTCTCTCAAAAGACAAATTGATATTCCACTAAGTAAATCTCTCTTTTAATAAAGTATTAGAGAATAGAATTCTGAGCATAATGATAGTTGAAACGTTAAAATCAGCCCAGTGAATCGTAATATATGAGTGTTTTTATCTTCGTGATTATATGTTTACTTTTTTGTTTATACAAAAAAGTAAACATATAATTGTAAAAACAAAAATACTGGAGTATAAAAACAATTTATTTTCTTAAGAGTAAAAGGTACATAGATCATTTTTTATATGATCTTTATAGTACATGATTTTTGCAAAAAATAAAACTTTGTCACTAATAGCAATAAATTTTTATTAAATTTTTATATAATATAGAATAAGATATATTTTTTATAATAGTAAAATTTTTAATAGATAAAATAT